TCCCTTCCTCTGGAATGACCAATATTTCAGACTTCCAGACTGCTGAGAGAGATGTTTGCTCCCTCCCACAAACATGGATATGCTAAAATATGGGCCAGAGAACTGCACTGCTCTGAGCTCCAGCAATATTTTATCCCAGACTGGCTGTCAGATTAAAACTTTGCCATCTGGACTGGCAGAACTTATGATATCTCCTGGAAAAAAAGGGAATGCAGGTTTGCAGCCAGCCGTGGTTACAGCTTCCCRAGCCACCATCCATTTTTCTAAATGTTAGACTCCAGCAATCACAGCACTGTAATTTATGGAAGTGCYGTGTTAAACACAACAGAGGATTTTTCCAAAGGCTGGGCTTTGCTTTGCTTTGCTCCAAGGCAAGGCAAGGCAAATTCCATTTTGAACACAGAGGAAGCAACAGTAGGGACATTTTGACCTGTTCCACCAGCCCAGGGAGGTGTCCAGGTGTTTAACAGAAATCCCTGGGGATGTGGCCTCCCATGTTCCCCCAGCCAGGCTCATGCCCCATCACTTTTCCCAGATGCCTCCACACGAGGCACCTTCAGTTCACACAAAGCTGCTGCCATCCCTGCTCTCCCCACACTCTCTTGGATCTCCAGGCCTCCCTCCCTGCCCCTGGCACTTTCTGGATGTTCCTGCCTGGCACCCTGGCCACTGCCACCCAACATGCCCATAGTGCCAGTGGGAATGGCTGCTGTGCCATCCCCAGGGCATCACTCACTGCCTCTCCAAATCTGCCTTCCGGCAAGAAATCTGCCTTCACTTTCTGTCCCTGCCCTGCCAAAGTCTGGACAGGATTTCCTGGGGCATTTGGGGCCATGTTCAGGTCATTTGCTGTGAGCTGGCTGGGAGGGGAAGGTGGCTCTGCCAGGGCTACTTGGGGCCTTTAGAGGCACAAATGTCTGCCCTTGCCTGCAGTGCTGGAGCTAAAGCTGCTCCATGGCCAAAAGGACAGAGAACACCAAGCAAGAGCTGCTGGGTGTCTGCAGCTCAGTGACCCCAGGAAGGGTCTCTGCAATGTGACAGGGACAAGCCACTGCTGGCTGATTGTCACAGCCAGGGAACAGTGCATCCATCCCCTGTTCCACCCCAAGCTGGTGTCAGCCCATCCCCAAACACCCCTCCTAGGCCCTGGTGCTGGAGCAGTGACATCCCAGTGCCCAATCCACACAGACAGGATGAGAGCAGCCCCTGGGTAGAGGGGGAGGTGAGCACTGTCCCAACCTACAGCAGCCCCAGCACTTTGGGAATGCCAGGCTTCATCCCATATTCCTGTTTCCCACTACCCTGGCTGTTTGCAGGAGGGTGGAATCTCACACAGCTCCACAGCATCACTKCCTGAGCAATGCCACATTTTCCAATCAGCTTTCTGGCAGGTGTGACTTTGCCTGCTGCAGCAATGCTGTGACAGAAGGGTGGGAGCTGAGCTCAACGTGGCACTGGTAATGAGCAGTAATTAAAGCACAGGTGCTCAAATGCACATTTGCTGTTCAGGTACAGGCTCAGAACTGGCCCCACCAATGGGTGGAGAGGCAGCATATGCAAGCAATCGCCCTTCAATTATGAACAGTTGCATTTTGAACCTGTTAGAGTCAGTAATAAATGTTTCTGGATTGCTAAGGAAGACAAAGCACAAGGAATGCATCAGGAGGTGGAAGCGTGGTGGTCCTTGAAGCCTTCCTGCTTCCCAGCCTCTCACTATGATTGTCTCTGCTTTATCTTGAAAGGGTGCAAAGTCACCAACTGATTAAAAAAGGGCAAAAATTATTCCTGTACACCAAGACAGACCTGCCAGGCCACTGTGAAGTGATGCCTCAGTCTCAGGATGGTTTATCCTAGGTGCAGGGGAATTTTCAGAATAAATCACCCACCCTAAGGCACTTCCTTTTCCCACCTTTTTTCCTGGGTTCATGCTGGAAGACCTGCCCTGTGCTCAAAGCCTGATTCCAGGGGTTCTGCAGAAACCATCCAGCCACTGCCTCCCTGGCATCATCCGTTAARCCATGAGTGTGTTACAGCAGGGTCACACAGCCACAGGTGTCCCAAARCCCCTCATTGCAGCCCCCTGCCCWCCTTGAGGGCTGTGCCATTTTCAGCAGGAATTGAAGCAGAGGCTGAGGTTTGTGTTTTGGGAAGTCACGACCAGCTTCCTGGGATAATGATGCCCCTAATTCCTATTGAAAGGGTGGAGTGTCTCCAATCCCACAGGGATTCAGGGCCAGGGCAGGAGAACCCTTCACCTTTGAGCTTTGGACCACAGATGCTCTGGGGTCAATCCAGTTTGGTGTGAACCCCCCTCTGCCTCTGGGGGTCAAAACTGCCCTGCAAAACTGCCAGCARTGATTCCCAGCAGGAGAACACAGGRGGTCAGCTTTGCTCCCACATTCCCATGGAAACGGGGGATAATAGTGTTATAACATTGGGAGGGTTCATGGGCTTCATGCCTCAGATTGACTGGTCTGGGAAGAGGCTGAGGGCTTCACCTGAGCCTTTGGGCAAGTCCATCCTTCTCCAGTTCCCACCAGACTGGATCTGTAGATATTCTTTGTGCTGGAACCAAGCCCAGGAGCAGGGCAGAGGTACCAAACACTGCAGGGCAGGGTCGGTGCTGCAGGTGGAGGTGCCCACCCCATCCAGGGCTCTGTCCCGTGTTTCCAGGTGCCTGGCTGTGCCCGGGACAGCGCTGGCAGCAGCAGGGCAGTGCCGTGTGCTGGGGCTGGAGCTGCAGCTCCTCTCCATGCCCATGTCCCCATGGAGCTGCCCATGTGCTGATCCCACAGCTCTGCCTGGGAGCAAAGGCTCGGAGGAGATGCCAGCGCAGATGAGTAGCGGGAATGGGATCAGGAGAATTTGGGTGTCTCGGAATTTGGCCAAACACCCCCAAGCTTGGTGTTGTTTACGAAAAAATGCTCCAAAGCTGCCTCGTGGAACAGCCACAGAGAGCTCTCCAAGCCACAGGGAGTTCCCAGCAAGAGCAAATCCCCATGGAAAGTGTTTCTGCTGTGCATAAAGACCCTGCTTGACCACACTCAGAGCCCTGGAGCTGCAGGGAGATGCCACTGTCCCCTCTTGCCTGGGACCAGGGCACTGCTGGAGGGAGCCAGAAGCACTCCCCCAGAGCCTGCCAAGATTGAAAATATTACAAAATTGCAGCAATTTCGTTTTGAGTTGCATCTAAGGAGGGGGGTGGAAATTGAAGAGGGAGAGTCTGACAGTGTAGAAGCATCCTACTTCAATTTTCCTTTCAAATGGCTTCCTATTTTGATGGTATTTTGTTATTTATTGGATTCAAGCAGAACTGGAGTCAAACATCCTCAGTGATCAAAACAGATTGGCAGGCTGAGGGGAGCTATTTTCTTGGAGAGCTTTTGTATCTCCAGGTTTCACCCCAGGTTGGATTGAAAATGAAGTTACCCATCAGGAAAAGCTCCTTGAAAGTGCCTCATTCCATGCTGCCTATCCCCTCAGCCYCACAAACAGCTGGGTTCAGTCCAGCAGCAGCTGCCCTGGCAGGAATTACCTTTCCCTTTCAGATCAGAAGAGGGTATAAGTARCTACAGATCATGCAGTGGTTGGGACAGAGGCTGAGGGATAATCGTGTCTGCTTTGAGCCCAGCAGGAACATTTGCTTCAGCTTGGGTCAGAAGGGGAGGACAGCAAGGCTGAAAACAATTTGTAATTCCTCTGTGCTGAGACTGTCAGAAATGGCTGTTTCCCATCATTCAGTTGAATCTGGAAGGGCTGTGGTGATGACACCTGCACAGTCACACCTCCCCACCAGTGCTGCTGGCTCAGCAGYGACACCCTGCACTCGCATCCCCTCACAGCCAGGAATGCCAGGGGCAGCAGCTGCTCAGGGATAAGCCCAGCTGTATGAAATACCCCCTCACTGAAGTCACCAAGGCAGGCCATGGCTGGGGCAGGAGGTGCACGAGACATCTCCCTGTCTTTATCTCTGGCCTCAGCTCCCTGGCCCTAAAAGAGCCCTGGTGCTTCCAACCAGCCACATGCGCTCAGGTGCCCCCGAGGCACAGGGTGGGTCTCCACATGCTGCCACAGGCATCKRGGGAGCCCATGGAGCATGGAAAAAKCATGTTTAAGAAACCAGCCAGTTACTGAAATGAAACTCTGGCTGGGCAGCCCAGTGCCAGCGTGGGCAGGACAGGTGTCCTGGGTGCAACCTGGAATTCTTGGCCCAAGCCACACTTCCCGACCCAGTCAGCCACACATCCGTGTCACTTCTGTCAAAGATGCAGGACACCAGATTTACTCTCAGCTACACAGCTGGGTGCTCATCCTTCCCTCTGCCCAAGCCCAGTMTCTCCTGGCTGAGCCCTTCCCTCTCTCCCCATCAATCTCTCCTTCCCATTCTTTTCATCAGCCACTTCATACAGTTGCAGGAGGCAGGGCAGACTTTGCTTTCTGGGGCTGCGCTGACCATTCTGAAGATCATCAGCTTCACTTCTGACGCAGGCAATGTTAACTGAGCCTCAGCACGCCAGGGAAGGATGCTGTGTTCATCTGGGCAGCTGGTACCAGTGTGTGGGATCAAACGCCCTGGTTTGTGCTGCCTTGTGAGAAAACAGCTGGAGCAAGAGGGCAAGGATGTTCCTGAATCTCTGGGGAGTGGGAATGCACCTAGTTTGGGTTTAAATGCAGCTCCAGCTTAAGAAAACAGGATGTGGGCTGAGGGCACCAAGATTTGAATTAATCAATATCCCCTTCTTCCTGATCTCTCTCCCCACACATCTTGCTCCTTCTTGGGATAACCAGGTTAAAACTCCTGTGCCAGCATCACCCTSTCCAGTGCCCTCAGCCCCTGGATCTTCCCTCAGGGCTCAGCCCCCTCCCCACAGCCACGAGTGTCCCTTACCAAGGGGAGCAGTTGACTTATCCTCGCCGGCCTGAGGGCGCTCAGCAGTCGGTGTGAGAGCACTGATAATCAATTACCTGCACTAATTAACCCATGATGCCCTGTCTGTCTCTGCAGCGGCTACGACTTCGATTATGACTATTACAGAGACGATTTCTACGACAGGTGAGGCAGCAGCAGCGGGGCTTTGTGGGCGGGGAGGGGGCCCAGCCTGTGGGGTGGAATCCAATGGCCCCAATCACCAGGAGCAGATGAGGGTCGGGCTGGGGCAGCCCATGGCAGAGCCCCACATCCCTCTGCTCCCRTCCCCTCAGGATCTTCGATTACCGGGGCCGGGTGTCGCCGGTGCCGCGGGTGGTGCCGGTGAAGCGGCCGCGGGTCACCATCCCCCTGGTGCGGCGCGTCAAGGCCGCGCTCCCCGTCAAGCTCTTCGCCAGGTCAGGCGGCATCGGAAACAGCTCAGCCAAGATCAAGTGTGAGTATGAGCCTTTGGACACGCATGGGGGAGTGCAGGGACCTCCCCAAAACTCCTCCAAAACCCCAAAGAGCTGGGAACGGCAGCCCGGCTGTGGGGAGCGTGGCCAGGAAAGGAGCAGAGGTGGCCTGAGCGTGACAAAGCCTGGGCTCAGCCCCACAGCCCCACAGCCTGGCCACACACAGCTCCCCCAGCTCAGCCCCACAGCCTGGCCGCACACAGCTCCCCCAGCTCAGCCCCACAGCCTGGCCGCA